ACCTGACCCGTTACCCGAAATTGACACCCCTAGGAGAGATCAGAGGAGACCTATCAGGGACTGGAGGGAATTCAAGGACTGTATAATAAAACGTTTACAAACCGATCAGGGAGGAGATTTCTATGAACAATTCTTTGCTTTGGCACAGGAGGGATCAGTAGCAAACAATCGGGAGCAGTTTGAGCACCTAGCCAGTAGGGTGAAGCGATTATCAGATACGATATTGGAGGGGAACTTCATGAAGGGGTTGAAGGCAGATATCCGAGCGGCAGTGAAAGTTCTGATGCCTAGTGACTTGGGCGAGGCCATGAAGTTGGCACAGCTGGTGGAAAATCAGAAGAATCTGGAGAAGGGGGTCAGGAACAGCAGCTCAGGAGGCTCTTACAGGACGACGACCACTCTTCTAGCACCCAAGGGGCCTGCATCAGGCAACATTAATGAGACCACCAGGGAGAAGCCAGTAGGGGGAGGGAGTGGGAAAAATTTCAAGAGGCTGACAGAGAAGGAGATGTAGGAGAAGTGGACAAAGGGGTTGTGTTTCAGGTGCGAGGAGAAATATACGCCAGGACATCGGTTCAAGGACCGAACTCTTCAGGTTCTCACCGTCTGTGATGATGAGAAAACTGAGGGAGGTGGGGGGAGTTAGAGGAAGAGAGGGAGGAGAAGTTGCATTTGGATCTGGCCGAGGTTTCCCTGAATTCAGTAGTAGGGTTCACCTCGAATCATACGATAAAGGTGAAGGGGGAGATAGCAAGCATGGAGGTGGTTGTTTTGATTGACAGTGAGGCTACCCATAATTTCATTTCCACTCAAGTTGTCAATCAACAAAGAGTGAAATTGGTGGACACCGGTTGTTATGAGGTGATGATTGGTACAGGGAAGGTAGAGAAAGGCCAGGGGATCTGTAAATGAGTGGTGTTCACCATCCAGGGGATTCAGATAAGGGAGGATTTTCTCCCACTAGAGTTAGGAAGTACTGATGTCATCCTGGGAATAAAATGATTGCAAACCTTGGGGAAAACCAAGGACAATTGGGCAGCACTCAATATGGAATTAATAGTGGATGGGAGAAAGGTGGTTATAAGGGTAAATGCAGGGATATCCAAATCCATGATATCACTTAAGACCATGGTTAGGAGCCTACAAGAAGTGCGGGAAGCTTATCGGGTGGGACTACATAAGCTGACTGTGATCAGGATGGAGGAGAGAGGGGATGTTTCTCTTTCAGGGCAACCCCTACTTCAGCAATTTGATAAGGATTTTCTACCACCTCAAGGATGGCCACCTCCACCAGGACACGAGCATATCTCCACCTTGAGGACAAGGTGGATCTTTGGGAGGAGAGTATTGTTAGACCGGTCCAGTGGACCAGTCCAGCCGGTCCATGCGGGACCGGCCCAGACGCGAACAGGGCGGAGTTTTTCCGCATGCTGGGATGCCATGCGAGAAGCTCTTTTTAAAATGTGCAAATTGCCTTCAAGAATTCTTTGCTCCAGAAACATCTTATGAATATGCCTTCAATATATTAAAACTATTATCAATGTGCTAGAAAATAATTGTGCTCACATATTATTCACATATATTTCGCATGTTTTCATATTTTACACGGCAACATAACTGTGCTAACTAGATAAATGCTCAACATTGGCCTAATACTAGGTCAATGATAGAAAAATAATGGTTATTGCCAAGCTCTTCATGTATTTAAACTTTCATGTATGTGATAGCAAGACAATATGATATTTTTAGTTATTTGTAAGGTTATGTGTTGTATATAGATGGTTATGTGCAGTACATATGTGGAGTAATGTCAAGAAGCCAAGCTAGATGAGCAAAATCAAGCAAATTAAGGTGGTCAACTCCAACATAGGAGCTTGACTTGCGAAAGAGCAAAAATGATTAAAGACTCATTTTATTAGTTCAAGGAAGTCAAGGGGAGCAAAGGAGGGTCAACAAATCATCAATGCCAATAAACAACTGCTTCATTCCACTACCCTTGAAACAAGGAGCCAACTACACTCTCCAAGCAACCACCTCCAACCACCCTTGAAACATGGAATCAATCCCCTCCTTTTGTGGAAATTTGACTTTCAAAAGTAAAATTATGTATAAAATTATTCTTAAAGAATGTAATTGATAAAAGAAGACTTTTTATGCTGGTTTGAATAAAATTTGAAAGTTCTTGGTGAAACAATTCCTTTCTCTTTGGCTTGGTGTGAGGATTTTTTTTGCAAGTTTCTTTCTATAGGTTTGGAACAAAATCATATATCCCCTCTAATATTTCGTGGCTGAAGCTTACCTTCTTCCTTGAAAAAAAAGGAAGATATGCCAAGTCATTAAAAATCGAGCAATCTTGAGCAAGAGCGACCCAGACTTAATTTCCAGGTCATTCTCCACTTAAAAATCCTTCAAAAAATCAAGTTAACTCCAAAACAAACCCAGACACATTCCTTAAGATTTTCCATGAGTTTTTATAAGCATTAGCTTTTCCATGTAGAAATCATCCCACCCAAATGGCCATCAAGAAGCTCTTAGCTAAGTAAGATTTCCCTTACTTGGCCGATCCTAACCAACCATAGACATATCCTCATTCTCCCTACTTCAACGCTAAGGTTCCTAAGTGATAGTAGAGAAATAGTACAACAACTATAAGTCCTTCAAAATAATTTAATTCCATTGATCCATCACTATAATCCATCAAATTTAATAATTCTGAATATGATGATGACTGATTTTTTTTTTAATTTACACAAAAAAATAATAATTTATATGCATTATATTTTAAGTTCTTTGATGAGAGTCATAGGCAAAAAAATTCAATTAGAGTGTTAACTTTTATTTATGAGTTCAAAATGACGACAACACCCAGCCCACCCAAGATTAGAGGCCATGGGTATTTAAACAATGTTGAAGTTGTGACTGTCTTACCTGACATTATAAAATGGTAATGAAGTTATTGATTGGCTTGGTTAGGCATGATCATTGAAGGCAAGCATTTTGCTCTGTAAAACTAAATTGAGGATCAACGAAGGGAGACACAATTAAACGCAAAGGTCTTTAAACTTCAATCAGATCGAAGAGCAACTAAACGCAAAGGTCTTTAAACTTCAATCAGATCGAAGAGCAACGATGAAAAAGTCTTTAGGCTTCGGTTTGATCAAACATCAACAAGCATGCAACAGAGAGAAGGAGAATGTGGTCAGTCATTCACCAATGGGTGTGCAAAAGAATGGGTGATGAAGAGCAATTCCATTGCTGCTACTATTGACAGTCTAAAAGGTATTCAATCCACTAATTAAGGAACTATAATTAAGAAAATTTTGATTACAAAGCTTGACTTATTTTTTAATTTAATTAACCCTAATTTTAGATAAACAAATTGCCTCATAAAAAATGTTGTGTGCCACTATAACAAGATAAATTCATTGCGCCCTTTCGATCATAATCCTAGCACTAAATTAGAGCGTTAGTGTCATATGTACTCTGCATTATCCTCAAACAATTGAAATTAGAATTTAATATAAATAGAATTCAATTCCTCTACTAAGTTTATTAAACCTGTGCATATTTATGCCACCTATGGTATTGTAACTTATTTGACTAGGGCACTTGGCCCTTGGGCTAATGAGCTAAGAGCTAGTTCGGCCTTTGGGTTTGTTAGATTGGCAAAGAGATGATTCTTTATACTTGTTGAACCATCATAACGCATGCCAACTAGGCTACTAGAGCTTATTGAATTGACATGACAACTCGACCCTAGGCTTATGAACTAGGGTGCTAGTATAACCTTTAGGCTGATCGAACAAGCAAAGGGGACAATTCAGGTCTTGGACATATTATATTGCTATATATTATGTTGACTTGGCTACTGAACCATATTAATTTAATGTAATAGCTCAGTACCAATGCTTTTGAACTGGCCGTGCCAGATTGACTTTTAAGTTTATTGAAAGAATGATGAACTAATTCGATCATTGAATTATTGAACAATCAAATGTGCAATCAAATTCAACAATTAGAGCTTATTGAATGGACATAATAGCTCAACCCTTATGAGTGTGAGCTTAGGATGTTGGTTTAAAAGACTTATTGAACAAGAAGAATGATACTTCGGTCGTTCGGCATATAAATAATTCACTAAGAAAATATAGGCCCTATGATAGCATAAGGAGATGAATTACCATAGAAATTATAACAATTACACTTCACCGCCTGAAAGGAATTAATGTCTAAAACATCACACGAGGTTAAACATAAGCAAGATGTTTATTATTAATCAAAAATAATATGTTACAAACTTAAATATCATATATTTATAATTACCAAACTCCAAAAGTCACTTATCAAAGAGGATCTATTAGCTCAAGCATCTACATAAGGCACGAAACAAAAAAACACAACTCTCAAAAATCCATAATAGTAAACTCACATATATATAAACTCGGTGTAGGAATTAGCAAAAGAGGCGCTTCATCAAAGCTCCACAAATTAAAATCTAGGGGATGTGTATGGATAAAGGAAACAAAACCACCACTAAACAATTGTTGCCGCCAAATATATATGATCAACCCTACTATAGTAATTCATTGCAATAACTAATGAACATAAGTATAAAGTTGAGAATCTAGCGCAAGAACCCGCTATACGAATTAACCTTGCAATAACAACAATTACAATCATTCATCATTCCCCCTCACTACCCCCACCCCAACCCCTCCCTCCCTCCTATCCCCCACATACATTTGTCTCTCACTAGATGTCCACATTTTCTCTTTCAAATGCAAATTGGGCAAATTCACCTCTCAATTTCTTCCTTCTTTTATATTGCCTTTCCTTCAATTTTCTCCAAACCAATGTGTATACCTTTTAAAAACAATTAAGAACATAAAAGGTTCCTCTAGAGTCTCAAATAAAAAGGAAAAAACAAACATATCAAAAAATAATATACAAAATAAACATTGATAAATATAATAAAAGGCCATACTATATTTTAAACTCACATGACCCTTGGAGGCGAAACAGACAACTCAAATCCTTCACGCCTCATGTTTTCAATTAAAATACCTATGCATTTACAACAATCGTAAGCACAAGAAATATCAAATATGTCACTAGGATAATTTAATTTAATAAGTACTTTAAAAAATACGTGCAATGAATGACTAATGATATATTATATAATAAATGAAATATATACAAAAATTGAAAAAAAAAAGTAAAACATACCTAATTGTAGCTCCCCTCTCCCTTGAACTTCAAAGGACTCAGATGCACCCGGAATAACATTTATAGCAAGATTTGTTTCAGCTTCAGCCACCAAGCGGTCACCTATTTTTCCTCCAGTTAACTGAAATTTAAGATTTATAGTAAATATAATAAGGTTCACCACTCCAAAATGAAAGAAAACAATGATTTCTAATCAAAATCATAAATGATCACCAATCAAAGTCGGTGAAAAGAGAGGTAAAGGAAATTGAATGCTAAATAAAATAAAAAATACCATAGGTTTTAAAAATTTTTGGATAATGTTGTAATGAATAGAAACTATGTAGAATATTATAGCAAGGAAACTTGTTTGATTGATGAAAACAATACAATTATGTGAAATGTACTTTTGGATAAGAAACAATTTAATTGCTTGTGATAATATAACTAACTCAAAAGTAATTTTAAATGAGAAACAATTTATTCATAATAAAAGGTGTAAATATTAAGAAACAAGAATTTATGTGCTTTATAAAAGGATTTGGAAAAACTCATGAGTTGATCCAAAATTCCAAACAAACCCAAGTTGACCAATTTAATTTATTCATAAAATTTTGTAACCTAGATGCAATTCTTAAAGTCTATAAAACCATAGGCTCATGTTAGTTCTTATCTTGGCCCTTAGTTACTTGAGTGACCCAATTGATCTAACTTACTAATGAATACAATTGAGTCCTTTTTAGGATTGAATTTGTTTTAAATATTTGGCCTAATCCTTCTTACCTTATTTTTATAAATAGGGATCCATGATGTGTAATTGAATTGACAAATGAAACATAACTATTTGTGAGGCATATAGTTTCTCCTAAGATCCAAATTGTATACATGGAGCGCTCTAAATTATGTAAACAGAGTTCTTTCTTTTTCCCTCTCCATCACCCTCCATCAACAAAACCTTCCCTAGCACTAAAGTGATTTCTTTATATGTAGCACATGTCACTGGAGGTATTGAGAACTTGATGATGCTGTTGCTAGCAAACCAAGTGTAGAAGGTAGGCTAGATTAGAGACCACCAAGCATAATAAGGCTATGCCATGAAGACGACTTCAAGAAAGAGCAAGGGGCAGGATATCCATATTGGTGAGGGAAAATTATGGATTGCCTTATCATTTAAGAGATATCGAGCAAGTATTAACTTCAAGGGTGGAAGATCCTAAATGGATGTAATAGATAATCTATTTTGACAATGCATGTCTGAAAGGTGGAGATTTTATTTTGTAGTACTTTGTTGCAAATTTGGTAAAATATTTTTTATGTTTTGATTTCAATCATCACTGGAATATGCCATGGATCTCCCTTACCCAGACCAACCTCTACCCATGCATGAAAAGATTTCCCCTGATTCTTCCCCTTATAGCTCACTTGCTTTTTTTTGTTCATAGATCAGTGCTGGTTTTGTTAACACTCAAATTCAAAGACTAATGTGGGCCAACAAAGTCAAAGGCTGAACCAAATCATAATGTTTCAATACTAGTCTATCCTCTGTTTCTACAAATTTTAGGGGCCAAATTGGGGTCTGTTAAGTTCTAATTTGGGCTGAAATCAATCCAAATAGAATCAAGAGGCACCCCTGGTACTTTCACAACTCTTTATCCTTAGTATCATACATTTTTCCATTAGTTCAAATCATGAGACCTAGATTAAAATGTTTTGACATCAGCTAAATCAATGATTAAGATCATTTTAGATGATAGATCACCATGATTTAGAAGAAAATGCTAATGGTCAAAAAGACATGTTGTAGCCTATTAAGGCATATTAAGCTCAGGATTTCAAGATCGCAACATAACTTTCATCGAGCAAATATAAATGGGGGTTTATAACTCCATTATGATTTTTTTCATGAAAGAGAGTCATGGAAAAATCTTCATGGGAAAAGATATGAAGTTGAAATATCTGTCATAGGAATTAGCCTAAAGTACTATAGCCATCAGAGATTTATCTTAAATATTCGCGGCAATGCAAAATGAGATATACACTCAACTGAAGTTACGTAAGTGATCCCAAGGTGCATGTAAACCCATTGCATTAAAAACCCCTCAATTTATAGAACCTCTAAAGCATAAGACTTCCAAGGAACTTACATTTAAGTCATCAAGTTGTACCTACTAATCAAGTACCCTTTAAGGCCTATATAATTACATGGACCTGTTAGTAAGTCTAGGCCATCCTAATAAAATAAAGATAATTCAATTAATGCGATGTATCTCCAGCAATAAAAAAATTGCTTATAATATCCTCCCACAGCTTAGCTTCCATAAGAGTCTTCGCCTTTACACAACACCAGATAAAGGAAGCCTTGTAGTGACAAAAGAAAAGCAACAACTATAAGCTAGGAAGTATTTAGTCTAAGAGAAAGCAACCAATGAGTGCGTAACACTTGCGTATTTAGTCTAAGAGAAAGCAACCAATGAGTGCATAACACTTGCATCCCTCAACTTAATTGATATTAACAATAAGGATTGACAAAAATGAGGTACTTCAAATCTAAAATGAATCATGTCTCTTTAAGAAGAGATCTGTTAATTTATTGCCTCAATGAAAGAATCTTTTACCTTCTTTTAAGGTACACTGCTGCTTCCAGCTGGTACTAGCGAGGTAGATTACAAACGTTATTAAGTTACATTTCAAAAGGTCCACCAAAATAATTCAAAGTTTATCTTTGATATGATCATTTTTACATGTAAAATAAAACCAACATGAGGACAACTTCATTACCAAAACCCTACAAATTTGACCATTAAATCTGTATTACTATGGAATTTCAAAAGAATTCCATCTAGCATAACCATCTGTAAGAAAAGCACGCATATCATGTCAGGAACGATCTGTTTGGCACATTTCAATTTTTTAGCACTTCTCATCTTCGAAATTTTATGTCCCACTTATGCGCTTTCCTATGGATGTAAGTGCCAACATAACTATTCAAGCTGGTATAAAGCCAACAAACCAATCAAAGTTAGCTTAATTCATGAGCCTTCCTGTTAATATATGCTCCAACTTAAGTAATATGATCGATATAAAGCCAACAAGCTCATTAAATCAAAATCTCACACAGACCTTCCCTTGAACGTAAGACCCAAATCTCAGCCAAGATCATAATATCAATATTATATGGCCACCAAATTACAACTTGGACCAACAACCATGCTAACCCGCCCATCAACTGAATAGTAAAGAGCAATTCAAGGTCAAATCCCCTGCTACCAAGCCTACTAACCAAACTCGTATGTCTTTGGCAAAATTCTTCAAGTCAAACAATAACTCATGGATAACCATTCTACTTGTCATGCCTCTGAGCCATTGTCAATCATGTCTAACACTTCCAAACTACAAGCAACCACATGGCATGATTCTAAACCATTTAGTCAAAGTAGAATGGCAAACCCTTCGTTAATAAACAAGTTGGCATAAGTATTAAAAGCATGTCTTTGATACACTTTTATTATGTTATTAAAAGCATGTCTTTGATACACTTTCATTCTGTTATGCTAAGAACACCTGAGACTCAACCCATGAATGCAAATAGGCTCCTTGGATGATAAGGTTCATAGCCTTCTAACGTTGACAATTAGGCCAACTAGTAGACACGGTCTAATGAAATTATAAAATCCTTATAGGGTTTATCTCCATCAGTCAAAACATTCCCCGCTAACTAAATTGAGCCTAAAATTAAGCCTAAGTGACCCTACCGGATAGTGCTCTACCACAAACATAAGGGGTAACTAACTATGAGGGCTTGACACTAAAAATTATGATCCCATATCTAAATAAAAAAAATTATAAAAATTTTTTGACTCTTAACTAGATACAATGGAGAAAAAGGATTAATGTAGCCGACCCCACGTAGTGTGATCAAAGATTGATGTTGTTGTTGTTGTTATTGTTGCATCTCAATAAAAAATTTACCAACATCAAGGAAAATATGATTAACCACAATCAATCTAGCTCAAGAAAAACTACTCCCAAGCTCTCATACATTGATAAGGCTAGAAGGGTTGCTTTTCTAGAGTGAAAAGGAGGCCCAACAAAAGGCCTAACACTTGAGAACCTAAGTCATAAAATTTGAAATCCTTAATGAAGGCAAGTAAATGGGAATGCGTTAAAAGGTCCGCCTTAATGGGCTCAAGGACAACCCATCACATATGAGCCCATTTCTGCTTTTTGTGTCAACAAACCAAAATTTAAAAAGGCAAAATCAACAATTGATATGTTTTTCCAAAACAAGGTGAGGCATAAGCCTCGAAACTAAAAAATAAAATTTTAAAAATATATATAAATAGCTCATAAAAATGACAAATAAAATAGAATAAACCATCAATATAATGACTTTTTTTTAAAGTAAATGTTATTATAACACAAAAGTTTAGAATTATATTCAAATTAAACACTCACTTAAAACTTAAATAAGCCCCAAGGATTAAGACACAAAGTAGCCTCATCCTCACTTTGACATTCTTCAGAAAAACCCTCATAATCTATGTCAAAATCTTCTTCAACTATAATATTTTTTTCTCATCCCTTATACCAGTTAATATTGCATTAAATATAAGCTAAAATAAAATAACAAATTCATAACACAAAAAAACAATCCATTATACTTAAGATTACCCTTTTTTTTACTACTTTTATATGATTATGAAATAGAAATTGTTCCTAATTTAATAGAACTTTTAATGTCAGCATTAATTTCTTCATTCTCCTCATCATTATAAGTCTGACCTGCAACTTCAACTTTAAGACCATTATTTTTTGTTGTTACTCATTCATCATCAGATTGTAAATTATTAATTAAATACAATTCATCATCACTAGTTCTTTGCTTTTGTAATTTAAAGTGCATATTCTTCGATTATTTGTTAAGCATAACATAAACTAACTTATTCATACCTTCTATAGTCAATCGATTCCTCCTCGTTGTATAACCTTAGTTGAAGGTGCTCTAGATAGTTCTATAAAAGAAATTAGTTAATAAGGCTTAAATTCAAGCCATTAAGAATACATATATAAGAGTTATTACTTGTGTTCAAACGCAAGATGGTATGACCAAGTATTTTTCTATTTCAGTTGGATTACAATAAGGATCATCTCTAAGCCCATATCTTTTTTGCATTAGTAATGGGTGTTCTTACTAAACATGTGCAAAAGAATGTACATTGGTGTATGATTTTTACTAATGATATTCTTCTTGTTGATAAGACTTGAGAGAGAGTTGAAGGAAAACTTGAATTATGGAAGTTAACCTTAAAGTCTAAAGATTTTTGTTTGAGTAAATCTAAAAATGAATACATGGAGTGTATTTTGGTAGAAAAAGATATAGTGTGGGATTGTGACATTAGATAATCAAGTCATTAAAAAGAGCATATGTTTTAAATATCTTGGGTCTATTGTTCAAAGCGATAGGTGAAATAGATGGGGATGTTATTAGTAGAATTCAAGTTCAATTATTGAAGCAGAGGAATGCATTGGGACTGTTGTGTGATAGAAAAGTACCCCATAAACTTGAGTAAAATTTTGATAAGATAGTGGTGAGACCTACAATATGGAGCAAAATGTTGGTCAAAAGAGAAGCATAAAATTAAGTTAAGTGATGCAAAGATGAGGATACTCAAGTGTATGAGTGGTTTTGTACTTAAAAGACAACGTGAAATGAGTACATATGTGAAAGGATTGGAATAGCTCCAATGGCAAATAAGATTAGATAGAGTTAATGATGAGGGCATCCAACCTTGGAGAGTATACTAGAGACGAGAGCGTTGATCTACGGCCATGATTGCACCGCTTTACTTTTGATTATAATTGTATTAGATTTATCATTGGTGTATTAGTTTATTATGTTTATGAGTTTTATTGTACCTTTCCTTTTATACCCTCACTTGTAGGGCTGCAAGCGAACCAAACGTTCGACAAGCTACTCGTTGTTCGGTTCGATTAAAGCTCATTTGCGATCGTTTAATTAACAAAACAAACAAACTTGAACAATATTTTAAATACTCGATTCTTAAATAAACAAACCTGAACACTAATGCGTTCAGCTCATTTATGTTCGCGAACAACATCATTTGAAGTTCGTGAACAAGCTCGACATTAAGCTCGATAAAAGCTCGATTCGTGTTCGATTTACTTAGTTCGTTAAAACTCCCTCGCCGAAAAAGAAAAAAGCGAGTGGAGGCCGGGGCCGAATTTTCGGAGCCCACACATGTGTATGCCCTAGGGGCAAGTTGGTTTTTTGTATTTTCTTTATTGTATTGGTTATTTAAAGTCTCCTCCTCCTTCTTTGAGAGGATGATGGTTACTAAAAAATAGAAATTCTGCACTTATGTCTTTGGAAAGGTTTGAGAGCTCTACTGAGAGAAGTCCCTAGGTGAGGGAAACGGATCAGCCACCAGTTGTAGGAAACGTCCGGGCCCGTGGTCTATCTCTTCTTCTTCCTCCCTACCGCCAGTCACCCCTCTTTCTTCCCAAGACCGTCGGCCAAGCCCCCTAACTGCTGACCAAAACCTAAAGGTACCTAACTCCTTCCCCACCGGCCAACCCTTCTTCCTCCACCTGTCGGGCATAAGCCCCACCACCACCGGCCTAGACGCTGGCCCCTAGTCCCTTTCCCTCTTTCCTAAATTTGTTTGATATTAATTTGGAAAGTTTTTGAATTCAAATTCAAATAAATTTGAAATTCAAATCCTTTCTTAAATTAATTAACATATTTTAGGAACCCCCCCCCTCAATCTTGGATTGATTAAAATCTGAGATTAATTAGCATTAATTGCCCCTCCACATTCAATGAATGTGGACACCTCTCTCTCCTCTGTCTTCGTCGACATCATCTCTCCTATTTTAATTAATTCTTTCCATAATTGGAACTCCAATTAAGGAATTAATTAACCCCTTTCCCTCCCTTCAACAATTAATTTATGAATTTGAAACTCAAATTTCCCTCCCCTTTCTCACTAAAATCTAAACCAAAAGTCCTCTAGACCTCCCAAACAAAATCTGAATTACTTTCCCTCCCCCTTACACTATTACTAGAGGTTCTTGACATCGGAAAGCTGCTGCCTTGCGTTCCAAAAGCAGCCCACTTGTTGTTCCGCTACAGGAAGGTTCCTGGTTGCTGTCCTCAAGATTCCTAACTGCTGTCCACAGGTTCCAGCAAGTTTCTATTGATGTCCTGCCGTCCGGAAGGTTCCTGTTCGCTGCCCGGAAGGCTCCATATAGCTGTCCTCATGCAGAATTTCCTCGAAATCAGCTGCCAAGACTCCGAATCTTCCTTCTCGCACTTCAAATCAAGCCTAATAACTTGACAAAGGTAAACTATTCCTCCAAATCTTATTTCTTCCTAATTGCTCTCAATTGTGGCTTTAATTGATTCATAAAGATCTTGTTAACTCCCTTCACTAAGCCTAGTAATTTAGGGAGTGAATGAGTGGATCCACGTAGTGATTAATCTCATTGTTAATTTAGGGATTTCTCATTGAAAATCCTTCATGTATGTTATGGCTGAATAATTGATTATTTTGTGATCTTAACTTCTAGTTGTATGATTTAGCCTAAGCTAGTTTCACCCTTCTCTCATTTTCATTCATCATTTAAAATCACTACAAGTTTAATATTTACTATTGCTCTGTGCTCTCAAATAAAAGCGTGCAACTTCTTATTTAACATTGCCTAAGCATTTAAGTCCTACATCAGTTGTCTTAGATGGTGTGGCCACATAAAGCGTTAGCCTTCTGGTGTCTTGTTTAGGAGTATATGTATTAGATCTGGCCTATGCTAAGAAAGTTAGAGAAAGACCTAAAATGACCTGGTTAGACAGTATTAAAAATTGACATTTTTTATTATATTTAAATGATAATTTGACTCTTAATAAGACACATGGTGAAAAATGATTCGTGTAGCCGACCTCACATGATGAGATAAAGGCTTGATATTATTGTTGTACGTAAGATGCTTACTTGAAAGGGGTAACATACAAGTCAAAATAAAAAGAGGTAGAAAATCCCATTAAAATGCTCGTAAAAATGATGCCTACAAAAAAAAATTTTTGAAGCTTTGCAAAACCTTAGTTATCCTCTGCAAATAATGATATAGAGGTGCAACACAGAGAGGTATTTGAACATTAATCGCTAAAAAGATAAATTAAAAAAATTTATCACTACATGGGAAACTGTTGAAAGTATTCTGAAATAGTGTGTGTTCTTTTTTGCCTTTCAATGGCGTGGACAGTAAGAGTAATATGGATATCATCGTTGTCAAGAACAACTCATTGCAGCAAGCTGCTACTTTCTGTTTCCACCATCTAAATATTTGACAAAGTGATACTTTTGACATCTTCGTATTTTGAATGAAGTATATCTCTCATTATACCCCTTTTAAAGCTCAGTGGAATATTTCTATTTCTTTACAGTTATAGATGCTGATGAACCTCACCAAACAACTTAAAACTCCTGTGTGTGTGTATATATATATTTAAGCAATTATTTTGATTACTTGTTTTTTGTGATTACTCAACATTCTCATTATCATCCTCATAAATGTCATGATTATGACTAAATATTTTCTCTAGTCTTTTTCATTCATAGTCTCGAACATATATATATATATATATATATATATATATATATGAGTTAATATCCCGTGCATCTCTTCACAACTTCTACTAGACCTAGCATTTTTTGTTCTCCAAAGCCCAAAATTATTTCAAGTCACCAAATTTCTCAATCTCAAATTTCATAGTTATTATATTGCTCATGGACCTCGTTCTGATGCCAACATCTAGGAAAAAAACCAAACATTTAAAATAAAATATTGACAATGAGTAAATACAATGAACCACAAAGTTATGCCAAAGAGATCAATTAACACATGAGAACACTAAGAATTACATGGTTAGATAAATATTCTTCTACTTCCACAGCAGCAAAGAGTGATGAAGCTTCACTAGTTCAATGATTAATATATATAGTGTAAAAGACATCTATACAGTTTTCTCAATCTTATATTTTCTCCACTCAAAACAGTCAAATAAATGGTAAAGGAGAAAATAACATCAATAATATAAAAAAAAAAACATATAAAAAATATTATTTATATATATATATTATAAACCCTATCTCCTCTATAATCTCCTTTTAGTTTTGACTCAAGAGTCGGCTGCAGGCCATCATCAAGCTCTCAATCCCAAACTTGGGACATCAACTGGACACCATTGGACTTAACTTGATGAATATCATGCTCTCCACACTGACAGATCTAACCATCAAGCACACCCTCCAGCTATCTCATCGTTGGCTACCTCTGGACCCAAAACTTCAATCACCGTGTACCTTCCTAGGTCCCACTGACCTCCATGTCAGCTGTCAAGATCCCTCATTAGCAATATTGAGAGACTCCCACCAGACCACCAGAAAGCTTCCCACTAGTTTCTTCACAAGAGAAACTAAGTAAAAGAAAAAAATACGGAGAACCAAGAATCAACCATGCCATGCAAATTTTCATTTTCATTTTATAAGACCTAGATGCAGTAATTAAATGCATTAAGGAGATTTTTAAGGGTTTAATTAAGAAACAATCTGAATAGATTTGAGTCGGATATCATCTTCAAAAACTGTTGAGATTTAGCAATATATATAGTTAACAAACTTTGTCAGGGTTAAAAAAAATTAACTTAAAAAATAGAGGGAATAATCCAGAATTTGGACAAAATCAATCTCCCAAAAAAGGAACTCGGACTGCAACCAAAGCGCATCAAAGTTTGAAGGATGGAGTACTCGTGAAGGGAAAAAAAATGCTCATTCTTAAGAGTTTTCAGTCAGTGTATTAGAGAAAGATCCTGGATTGTCTACAGAATCTAATGCATTTCCAAACACTTGAGTAAAATATTATGAATCAAAACATAAATTCTTTGGACTAAGAAAAAGAAAAATAAGATAATAAGTTCAATGGTAAACAAATTAGAACGTAGTCATTACAATTAAGCAGAAAGGACCAACATGAATATATTCAAATTTTCCAAAAGATAAGCAAAGAAAATGCCACTGACATGAGTCCCGTCGTGACCAGCTAATGGAGAATCATTAACACTGAACGTCATGGAAATTGTTGGCGGATCTAACTCGACAGTTGGCAATGCAGTCATCACCTGATGATTAATTTCAGAATCAATATTTCAGTGAGGAAAAAAGCTAATTAACATTATTGAAGACTGTGAAATGTAGAAGGTGCGTAACTAACTTGGGTTTCATACAACTAGGGAAAAAGAAAATTAAACAAGTACGGAAGAAAAAAGACATAATATCAATTAACAAAGCAGTATATAGAATTATTTAAAATCTAACTAATCAGCCTAGAATGATAATATTCGAACACATTATAGGACTTCTCAAAATTGATCTAGCCCGCAAAACTTCAAACCAACTTCCAACAGCTAGTGATATAAGACCTTTAGCAGAGAATGAAAGGCAGGTCATGAATGTTAAAGATGAAAACTATGACATTGTACAGGAAACAGCTGTACCATTGGAACTGGGACCATTTACAGTTAATAAGCTATCTTTTCCAGATGTTAGCTAGAAAGACTAACTTCAGTTCTTTACTATGTCCTCATATGGCATGTTAAAAGGGAATACATTCATAAATCCTAAGATATGCATAAAGTAGCTATTAAAACTTCTTAGCCTACATTGGATTGTTGAGCATGACAATTTTAGAACAAAAGAACATGAATGAAGTATTAATCAACATGTGATTTAATAAATAGTCAACTTTATTCAAAACAAACAACCCCATGGATCGGGAGAGAGAGATAGAAAAAGATTTTAGTCCAATCAAATGCATGCACCAAGAGAGGAGGAATTCTTCTATCTGTTCATACAAGTCAGGTTGCAATGAAATGTCATTGCTTTTCAAAGTTTTATCATATCTATTTACCTACATAAACAAATAAATAAAGAAGGAGAATAAAAATGTTGTGGTCCACTCGAGTGCATCGAGGAAGGGTGGGAGAGAGTTTATATATCAAATTAGTAAAACATTGTAGGAATGCATCCATCTCATATAATATGTATGCACAATGTATTAGTTAAATAAAACATATAGCCGCATCAGTACAATATGTTTACCTCAACATTTGCCACTGTGTGGCCAATTGATGGACTTGCAAGACCGGCAATAGAAATTATATCACCAGCCCCGGCGCTGTCAATGGGAACAACATTTGTGCCCTTCTTTTTCATAAGTTTAGTAACCTGCACGTATGGCATACAATATAAATATTATTTATCACAACTTGTAAGTTGACAAGCTTATTGGGCATTATGCCATCCAATGTTCAAAACGGTGCGAGCATGAAGTGTGGTGCCTATTAGAAGATAGAATACCAAAGGCATAGGGCACATATTATGCTTAATACATTAGTTTAAGTTAATGGGCAAGGCCACAACTAATTCATGGGGAACTTAACTCTTGCTTCACGTTTGATGTATGACTACTCTCACTTTCATGTGTGACATACAGTTATTAACCCCCTGATAAAGTATAAGCTTTTAATGATATGCCTTTTTTGTATGCAGAGATGGATATGATGAAATATAAGTTTTTGATGATATGATATGAAACAAGAAGTGAGCTTCGAACTTAGAAGCATAAGCTTGCAATTCAACAAGCTTGAAGCTCATAAGCTTCAAAGAAATCTTGGAATTTTGAAACACAAAAATAAGGGACATTTGAAGCTAGTTCTTAAAGCTACGGTTACACCTAATAAATAACTTCCCTTTTTCGTGAGTGCATGAAATTGTCAATGCATGTACAACACTGACCTATTAAATTTTCATTAAAAGATAAAGCCGGAAGACTTCATCATAATGTGCTTCACAGTAAATGATAAGATCAAGTAAACAAACCTTGCCTTCATCAATTTTCTCAACTCCACTTGTACAACGGAGCCCATGTATCCTATCTCCAACATGTATCACTCCTGATGACACACGTCCAGTTAATATTCGGCCTAGATAAAAATCACGCTCCATCATCGAGACCTGCATGAATCACAAAAAAAAAAAGAAAAAGCAAAATCCATGACTTTACAAAAGAACAACAGGGCAACCCTGCAAGTATACAAAATCAAAACAAACTAGTTTCCAAGTAAGAAGGTTCATAGAAGTAATCAATAAATTATCTATCTATAAAAGTGTTCAGATACATATCAAAGATGTTTTAGAGACCATAGTAGAATATTACTAACATCTGTAAGATAAGTTTGGTGATGATGGTCCATGCGTTCTTTAATATTTACTAAATAAAATCTACAGAACAATAGCTTGAACAGGCCAGTAAGGATTGCACAGAATGAGTTGAACATTGAAATCAAAGTTAAACTGAAACAAACTTGGAACATAACTCAATCTTCAAATAGAAACTCAACTTTACAAACATCAATCAAAATCATCATATAAGTTGGCCAAAGTTGATATTTTCATCCCCACAAAAAATGAAAAATTAAGATAACCTAAACCTTTCACAACCTTACCAAAACTTTCTAAACAAAAATATTAGGCATCTAATCTCATATATCTGATTATATCAACACTAACCAGCATCTGGAAAGGAGCATCCAAATTTGCAGAGGGAGAAGGAACATGCTGTATAATGGCATTCAGCAAAGCTGACATATTTCTATTATCATCAGCCGGAGTTTTTGTATATGTCAAAGAAGCCCATCCCTCTTTGGCAGACGCATAAAGAACAGGAAAATCCAGCTGTTCCTCTGTGAAACAAAATTCAGAGTCATTTCGGAATTAACTTCAAACAGAAACATCTTCAATTACATGTCCATACCAAATAAAATAACAAATCATATTTGCACCTGTAGCACCAAGATTTGCAAATAGATCAAAGACCAAGCTCTCAACCTCATTGCAAGTCTCCTCGGAAACTGTTGAAAAATAAATTAAAGTAGAAAAGCAATTATCCAAAAGCTGCATCGAGATTATCATGCATTTAACAAATCAGCAGTTAAAATGCTACGATAATAGATACAGGATAGATAATGGTAATCACCAAACTAAACCAAGGTTGCATGAGTTTCTTATCCCAGAAATCACAATTAATTAAACCAGAGGACAAATAAATATAAATTCTCCATAACATGCTCACAGAAGTCATAGATTAGAGCAATCAAGGTGCTCTTAACTTTTTTTTTTCTAGCTATTCTTCACATTTAATCTAAATAAAGAAAAAAACCATTCCTCATTGAGAAACAAGAGAAATAACGCATGCTTTTAGTTAATGTATCAGAAGAAATACTAAAGTCAATAGATTTCCATTGCATTCACATCATCATCATTGGTACAACTCCAGCGATTTATCATTAACTACCTCCAGACTCCAGTTGAGTTCAAAATGAGCTATTAACTCTATTTGAACGATTTTTTTAAAATGTTCTATCCATGTTATCTTTAATCTATGCATAATTTTCCACTGCAAGTCTATTTAATTTGTTTTATTTGTCCATCGTCAGCCCTTCATTACATTCCCCCAATTTACTTTTGCCTATTTTTCACTATCTTATCTTCAATAAGTGCTATTTATAGCCTCTTTAGTATACACTTTCTAGTTTTACCATACACATTAAACTTAATACTCCTATTACTATCACCATCAAATTCAATTTAACTATAAATATTTCTTTGTTACCCAAAATTGGAATCTGCATAACATGATATAATTGCAATTGTATTAAATTTACCTGTAATTGCAACATATTTCTAAGACCTTCCCCTATTTTTAAACAACCAACTTTACCTCTAAAAGTCATGTCCTCTTCTGCATTACCATATCTTTTGCATAAAGATTCGATTACATTAGTCTAAATATTAATTTCCTTTCAAATAACAACTTCTTAATGGTTTTATTTTTCTATGGCTATTGCATCAGCATATACATTACTTATGACACATTAAATCAGCTTTTAATGCTGCATTGCCATAATTCAAATATAAAATGAGGCAAAATCAAACTGAGTCTTTACAAATAAGATAGACTTGAATTTTCTAAATATGCTCGCAAGTCAAATTGCAAGTACGTTAAACCGTAAACATTTTCTATTTCAGGCGCCAATTTGGTACGCATTTTTTTTTCAGAAATAAAAGTTGCAACTTCCAAGAAGCCTGAGCATAAGCTTCATTAGCTATTTTAAGTTTTCCTAATTTATGGCTAATAAACATACTCGGACATATTGTTTCTGAAATAAATCTCTTAATCAGCAAAGCATTACACTAGAAATGGTGACAACCACATGACAGAAATTATCAGTGTTTACTTTATTGTGCTAGTGTGCTACTTAAGAAAAATATATCATTCCATGATCCTCTGGTTCATAAAAGAAGGACAGCTTAGTAATGTAACCATAATGCAACCTAAGATTGTGTGCATACAGTGTACCTGAGGGTCTGTCAACTTTGTTCAGAAGGAGAATAGGGCGTAGTCCGTACTTCAAAGCTTTTGCAAGAACAAATTTTGTTTGTGCAAGTGGGCCCTCCCCTGCATCAACAACTAACACAGCACCTTCAACCATCCCAACAACTCGTTCAACCTAAGAACAACACATTGCAGTTAGTTACTAACCTGATCAAAATATATTTTCTGGTTCCATAAATAATTTGAATTCAAATTGACCATGGAAAACATACTTCCCCACCAAAATCGGCATGGCCAGGAGTATCAACCATGTTGAGTTCAATGTCATTCCATGTAATTGAAGTAACCTACAACAAAAGCGAATCTTAGTGTGAGTAACTCAAAAGACTACTTTATCTTTTCCATGCTAGGTAATTCCATTAAATGGCCAAATCATAATAGTCCATGATATTTCAAGCAAGAAAGAAATAATTAGGAGTTTAGGTTAACTACTTGGTGCAATGAATAGCTAGATACTCATTTGTTTAAGGCTCATTTATATTCATTTACTTTGATAATCAAACAAGTTTGAAAAGATTTGAAAAGCTTGATATATTAATGAGCAACCTAAGCATTGACTTGTTCATTTACTTAAATTAATGAACATATGTGACTGTTAATTAACAACTAACTCATTTAAAGCTTCATAAAGTGCTACTTAACAAATTATTTCGTGGCTTATATAAAAATTAACTTCAAGTTATTGTATCAACTTTCCTCATAACATACAAACCCACACACATGCGCGCGCACGCACACACACAACCCTAAATATTTCTTATTCTCCAATTTGGTCCACCAGCTTATCAAATGAGTTCTAATAGCTTGAGGGATTAAATTGGATGATAAGAAATTTTTGAGGTCAAAATGAACACACTCTTAATATTTCGAGGAAAAATTGATATTATTTTTGGATAAATAACTATGAAACCTTTTACATTCAATAATAAGAGTTTATATTTAGATCATTAATATCTCACATAATTTAGTTAGGTTGAACTAAAGATTAAGTTCTATTAAAAATTAAGGGGTTGTTTGGTATCCTATCTTAGTAGAATTTAAGCTAAATTTAGAAGAGACCAAAAGAGTTTCACCATGATATTCATTTAAGTGATATCGGTATAATTTAGTTAACAGGATAATTTAGTTAGGTTCAAAATCAAAATGTGAGATTTACATACATGTCACATAATTTTTATTTATTTAAATATATAACACTTAAATCTTTAAATTTACCTATGTAATACCATAATAAAAACCACATCCAAATGAAAGTATGAAAGGGTATATCACTTTAGATAAGTTAATATTAGAGGTAATTTTTATGTGATTTAAATATTATGATTTTATATAAGTTAATATAAAGATTTAGGCATTAGATATATAAATATATATAAATTTTATGGTACGTATGCACGTCAGCATAAGAAAATCTAAGATCAAAACAAATGCGCCCTAAATAATTTAGGGATAAATTTGGTAATTTTCTCTTTTGATAAATAATGACTACAATATTTATGTTCAATAATGAAGTTTTGTGTTTAGATGATTAGCATCTCACGTAATATAGTTGGATTGGGTTAAAAATTGAATTCTACATAAACAATAAATAACGGGTTGTTTGGTATCCTGTGTTAGTGTGGGCTCCGAAAATTCGGCCCCGGTCTCCCCGCAGCGCTTTTTTGTTTATTATTCAGCGAGGGAGTTTTAACTGAATAAGTTCCGGGGTAAATTTTGGAAGGCAGATGGGTTTGTAGATAAGACACTACCCAGAGATTTCGCCCTCATTTTGTGAGGAATTTATGATCTGAGTTCAGAGACTTGAAATCCTATTATTTTGATAAACGTTGATTAAGCCTAGTTGCTAGCTAAATGCAATATTTGTTAAATTACATTATTCACGGTATTCAAGAGATTCAATGATTTTTTGCCCATACAAATGTTAAATCCTAAAAAAAAAAGTCAAACTAATTCTCCCGATTTAGCAAGTATTTAATAGTTGTCATGCCAAAAAGTTTTTAGGCTTTAATCCTCTGAAGATAAACTAAGGGCCTGTTTGGATGCCAGATTTAACCTAGATTTGGGGCGGATTTGAGCTAAATCCAACCAAATGCCAAAAAAAAGTAAATTTAAATCTCGTGGTAAATGTAAGCCTCATTTCACGGAAGATTCCCGTTTTCTAGGTAAATCATGGATTTACCAAATCCTAAGGGCATGTTTGATTGCACCAAAGATTTCATTTAAGTAGGATTTCGTAAATTCTCTAAATCCTGAAAACTATTTGGCAAGAAGTAAAATCTTGATCAATCTTTTGTGATTGTTTGACAATGCAATTCAGAATTTAAGGCGGTTAATACATATGATATTTTTATAGATCAATTAAAGTACAATAACGATGGTTATAATGCAAATACATCAAAATAATATTACAAATACAAAAACTAGATAGACAAGAATTGCCTATAAATTTAAATTGCTTTTTTCATATTCCAAATATTGCATGTTATCCAATTGAACGACTTTGATGACTTGTTGACTATAAGTGGGATAATATGTTAGAACTTCAGTTTTAAGAAATTAATGATATTAACATTAACAAGATAGTGAATTACACATTATTGCCACATATTTATTGTGATTGAATGTCTCAGGGCATCACCTTGCATTCTCTCTCCAACTCCTGCATACAAATTTGGGTCTTCATTATTGACATGAACTTCATCAAATCACTATCATGATGCATTTTAATTTATGCCATGTTGAAATATACATCATGCCCGTGGTACCAATAAAATTATGGAAGATTGTACATGCAAGCACAATATTGGCTTGAACCGTTAGATGAAATTTTTGTATTTGCATCAACACTTGGAATCTCTATTTAAAATTGCGCAATAAGAGGCGCAATTCTGTCCAAAAGCGCCTCGAGGCGCATGCAATTTGGACAATGATTGAGGCGTACGCCTCACCCTGTGTGAGGCGCGCCTCAATTGTGTAATTGCGCAATTATGGGTGAGGCGTACGCATTAAAGCGTATCGCCTCGAGGCAGTATGAGGCACCGCCTCAAAATATTTTCTTCGGTATATATGTAAATACGCCGCAACTGATTCGTGTCAGTGTATTCGCATATAGGATTAGGGCTTCCTGTAAGAATTGAAAGGCGAACTAGAGGAGAAGCCGTGAGGGAAAGAGACGAAGCTGTGAGGGAAGGAGACGAAGCCGTGAGTGTAGGAGACGAAGTCGGAAGGAGACGACGCAGGGAAAGAAACGAAGCCGAAGTTGCGAGTGCAGGAAACGTTCAGGCATCGGTTAGGTCGGAAGAGCAGGTACGCGGTGTTGTGGCCTTGACTTTGACGTGCAGTAACGAAAGCTTGAATAACTCCTGATTCGGCTTTCTTTCATTCGTCCGTTCAGTACATGCTTGTGATGGGATATGATTGCATTTTATATGTTTTTTGTATTTTGGGAGTTTTGTTAAACTAATATTTTGTGATTTTGTACTTTGGGACATGATTTTATTGCATCTACTTTCTTACTTTCCACTATTTTCATATATCATTTAGATGTTTTCATTGTAAGATACAATATTGCTATTATTTTCCTGCTAAATTCCTTAATTTTTCATTTACGCAATTTTGTGTCTGTGAGGCTTACGCCTCAGACCGCCTCGAGGCTTACGCCTCGCCTCACGGACGAAAACTGCCTCGAGGCTTAATTACGCAATTTTAAACCTTGCTTGGAATCTTTCTTTCTATATACCAAAATTTCTCTCCACCATATTACATAGCTGTGTATGACGATGGTTGTATAGCACCTGCACAGCAAAGCACCTACGAGAAATTTCACCAAAATATTCATTTAAGTGATATTGGTATCCTCTGAATAATGCTATTAGTTTATCCGTGTTTACGCAGCCAAAATCAACCAACTTATATTTATCAAATGGCACTCTAAAATTACCCTCCTCCACTACCCATTGTAAGACTCTCATATCAGTCGTTAATCCTTCCTAATTAGATCTAATATAGACGAATTGTCTATCAAATGAAACTGCGACCATGACATTCTGAGATGTGAGCCCTTTACTGTTGCGGTATCAATTCTACAGTTGTCTGATAACAAGTGCAAGAATGTGGGTCTCGTCGATGGCTCCTATTGCATTCTCAAATAATAGATAAAAAATGAACATTTAAATATATAAAGGATGACATTTTTCTTCTACACCTGACAAGCTAATGAACTTATTAGATAAGGAAACTATTGTACGGAGGATCAAATTAAACTACCAACTAAATGTTTCGAGAGAGTGCTAGAAGAACTCACACAACTATCTATGACTGTGAGCATGCGCAATGCCTCTTAGAAAAATGGCAAATTGTTTCTCAGCTAACATGTATCTTGTGTCCCGAAACAAATATTGACTAACTAATATATCTTTCAACTGATAAAATGCTTTAGATGGAAGTTTAAAACAGTCATATAAACATAAAGGATGCCCAAAAATAGATAATCTATATATTGTTGGTCAGTGTACGAGCTATCAATCATAGGTTTCCAAATACTTAGCTCATCATCTGATGAACTGCTACCACCGATGAGAACTAGAATAATTTGACTAATTGCATTATTCAACTCAACATGTTCGTCAATAAGTTAACAAAATTCATCATGAAGATAGTCAGACATTGTTACATTTGTATTAAAAAGATATAAATTAAAAACAACATGCCATAAGGATAGTGAGGCATTGCCAAATAAGAATAAAAAAAATAACTTCAACTTAATGAAAGATAACTTTAAGCAAATAAATTAAAAATAGAACACCATGAATGACTAAATACTGACAGCATAATAGTGCAAGAAAATCAAAATGACAAATAATAGATAATAACAACAGTTAGGACAGTTAGGGCAAATGAACTATGGCAACCAGACAAAATAAGAAAAGAACTTTAGATGACAACTAAGAATGTATTCAATCTAGCCACGATAGTAGACTATCCCAAATCATCAATGTTATTTTATAGTCATTACTTTTAATCAGAGCTTCGTGAACTTCAATAATAACTTCCATAAAAATTTTAGGAATGTTACCCAGCTTAGTGAGACTTTCTGGTATAGTAAACGAATACATCTTATCAATTATTTGTATTATTCTTTCAACTTTATCATTATGTTTGCTCAGTGCATAACTCGGTCTCTCTTTTTCTATCATTTTTTGTTATGCCTACTTCTCCTTACTGATGAGGACATCGGAGATCAACGGCTATGATCTTGAGTTATTTATTTATATGTTTTTTTACTAGTTTATTTTATTTTTTTTTCCTTTATACCCTTACGCGTGGTCATGTAGTGTTGTAGCCCGAAGGGCATCTTAGTCTTTTATTTCTTTTCTTTTCATGAGGCCTATTTATAGGCTAGTTGTTTTGTAATTTGTATTTTGGGACGATGAATGATTATTGATGAAAATTTCAGCTTTTATCTTCTTCAATGTGTGAGCTTTGAGAGGAGAAAGAGAGCCCTAGGTGAGGGCGAATGCAATACCCGTCAATCTTTGGAAGAGTCTGAGAATCGCGGTTCGTTTATTTCTTCTTCTTTTCACCTCTATCCCCTTCCCCATCTCCCTACACCCGCCGGCTCCACCTCCCCAAATTCCCCACTCGCCGGCCTCCTCCACCCAAAGCCCCTAGCCGCTGGCCACTTCAACCTTCCTATCCGTCGATCCCTTCACCCACCCCCTTCCCACACCCCGCCGCCTACCACCCATCTTCCAAGCCGCCGGAAATTCCCCAGCCTCTCCCCAACCGCCGGCACCCCAACTTCCCCACCCGCCGTCCCCTAGGCACCACCAAAACCACCGGCCCCTTTTCCCTATAGCTCCCAAAAATCTGAATTCAATTCCATCATAAAATCTTTTCTAATTTAGCCAACCAATTTAGGAGGAGATTTAAAATTCAAAATTCAAAGATTTGAATTTAAATCCTCTCTTAAATGATCCCCTCTAATTTAGGAGAGGTCCTCAATCAATATAAATCTAAAATTAATTTCATATTTATGTCCTCAATCACCTTAATTGCTTGGGCCCACATCCATAATACCCAACCCCTCTCTCTTCCTCTCTCCTTGGCCGGCCACCCATATCCCCATTTAATTAATTAGATCCCACAAATTAAGGATCTAATTAATTCAATCCCCTCCCCACTTTCCCTCCTAAACTCCACATATTTCAAATTCAAATTTCTAAATCAATTGCTCCATAATTACTCCCTAAATCTAAAATTAATTTCAGATTTCCCCCTATGCTCCTCCTCAAATAAATTCTTTCCAAACCTAAACCGAAATCAAAGGGAATTTACTCCAGGCTCCCTCAATTGTTAGCCACACAATTCTCCACCTTATCCCACTAACTCTCATGCGGCTAGAAGGAGGAAACTCCTAAAATTTGATGTTCTATTTGCTGCCCAGATTTTCTAGAAGCTGCTGGGTTGCTGTCCAGATGTCAGGGACAGCCCAGTCGTCTGTTCAGAAGCTTCCAGGAGCAAAATAGCCCACTGCCATGATGCCCAAAGCAAGCTAGCTCATTGTCTAGCCGTCCAGAATCTGTCCTAGTTGCTGTCCTGAGGAGATCTAGTGTTGTCTAGCTGGCCGGAAAAATCCCACAACTGCCTAAAGGTTCCCGAAATTAGAGAGCTGTTATCCAGTAATTTCAGCCAACGTCTAGCTTCATATCCCCTACTACTTTGGGTAAACTCTTCCCCGGACTCTTTTATCTTCGTAGTACTTCTCAATTGTGGTCTTAGTAGATTCATGACAATAACGTTAATGCTTCTCCGCTAAAGCCTAGTAATTAGAAGAGTTGAGTGAGGGATCTCTTTGTAGTAACTAATCTTATTGTTAGCATTGGGATTTATGGTTGAAAACCAATCATGTATGCAACGCTAGATTAACTTGATTGTTTTATGATCTTAACTTTTACGCGTGTGATTCAGCCTAAGCTTTTATTACCGCTCTTTGTGTTTTATTGCGTTGTTTAAATTCACCATTAAGACATAATTATTTGTTCTAGGAACATTTAGTGTGCAAAGTCCTTAAAGTAATTCATCTTCGCATGTTCGTTCTACATCACTTACACCTTCGCATGACCTTTTGCTTTGACTCATTAAAACAATTGTGGGTTCCTCCATCTCTTCTTCTTCTAAAATATGATTAGTTTTTGGATCCAAGGGCATGGTATTGCTGACGAAAGTGAGGCCATGCTCAGACATGAACTCATCTGCTAGAATTTCTTCTCTTGCCTTCTTTTTTTACTTAGATTTCCTTATGTGTCTTGATAATTTCACTACGGTTCCTATGGCAATATTTTCACTACAAATTTTCTCAAGAACGTCATGCTAGTGGAAAGGATTAAGGCGAAACAGCAATAGATAGAGATTTTCCTCCTATCCAGCAAAACGAAATTATTTTAGACCGCAAAATTAAAATAGAAACCTCTACAAGTAAAATATAGTTAGCTCTATAGTTACATGTATAATCTCATCAGTTGCAACAGGCAAGTGAAGAGGACTTACTAAATCCTACCTTAGTTAATCCTACATTCATATTGTTACCAAACAGCCCCTAAATAAATAAGCTTGAGCAGCAGTACTTGGGGTTTTAAAAGCCCTATAAAGAATCATTGCCAATACAAAACATGGACAGCCGATCATACCTTAGACGCAATAGTGATTCCCCGCTCGCGCTCTAAGCTAATAGAATCCATGGCACGCTCGTGGGGGATGTCGGCGCCACACTGACGGAGCAATCGGTCCATGAGAGTCGTCTTGCCATGATCTACGTGTGCTATGACCGCAACGTTCCTCAGACGACTAGGATCAAGGGAACTCCCGGCGGAGGCAGCGTCGGCGGTAAACACCGGTGAAACAGAAGCGGCGGAAAAGTGACGGAAAGGTGAAGGGGAGGCAAAGTGCCAGCGATGTAAGGGAAACACCACCGGTGAAGGGGTAGAATTGTAGGCGAAGGCGCGCCGCCCCGCAGACCGGAGGCCGCGGAGGAGGAGAGACGCCATTGTTTTACTGCTCTATGGCGGGCGTTTCCAAGAGATTCGACGAGCCGCCATGGTAATGCTTTTATGAGTTCCGAGTTCGGGTTCGAGGGTCTCGTGGTTTCCTGGCGGTAAAATGTCCCGCGGAATGAAGTAAGATGGTAGTAGTGTTACGGTTATTAAAAGGGAAATATGACTGTGCTCGATAATTGTGGAAATTAAAGGAGTATAATCATTATTTAATTTTATATAAATATTTGCTTGAAATTTTTTTAATAATTAAAATTTTTTACCTAATTATGAATGATTTTGAATTTGAAATATATAGAATAATTTTGTTGTAGTGTATAGACTCTACAATCAAATCATCAAATTGTAAGTGTAAAGAATACTTAAATAAGTTAAATATTTCAAAATTTTAAAATAATTTACCTTATGTGACCCTTAGAACCTTATTTGTAGTGGTTCTTCTCCATGTCCAAGGAGATTTGCGTGAAAAAAGTATTTATTTTTTGCCAAAAAAGCTCATATAGTTCAACCAATTTAGGAAAACTCTTATATAATGAATTCATCATTCGTTGCAAGATGTACATAGAGATGCAAGAGGGGTCATATATAGTTAGACAATATCATAACTATCACATGAAATGAGATCATATATACAATCCAATGAATTTTATTCTAGTTTATTCAAAAATATAGTATTAGCACAAGATTTTAAGAACATTTGCTCCTCTCCATCAGCATGAGTCCTACATCAAGTTATTTAAATGAATCATTCTAGTGGGCTTCTGGAAAATAGAGACTGATGATGTAACAATATTAGTCAAATTATTCATTTAGTACAATTATAAAAAATTTATAGGTCTTTGAGTAGCGTCAAATTCACTCTCTTATTAAGTAAGATAAAGAATCAATATGCTTTAAAAAAAGAAATTGAGGTTGGTAGAAAGATTGTTCAAATGTTAAAGCTATGCTTTCAATAAATTAAAAGAACTCTCGTAATACTATCTAACCAAATTGTTTGAGTATGTAAATCCAAGAAATACATTTTGTTTCCACTGCCCACTTCTATCTCCTTCTCTATGAAGTTTTTAATCAGTCCTAACATCCAAGACTTGAAGGAGGATAATTGATAATTACTAATCAAGCTGAGAGGATCAATGGCATATAAATGTATGAGCTTATGCCTTTTCCCCGATGAATATGTGAAATCCATATTCATATACTTCTTACTCTTTTGTAGTCTTATTTTTAACTTTATACATTGTGCATCGCTCCTTATAAATTTAAGAGATGGACCACCTTAAATTGCATTATATACTTTCTTATCTAAACATATAATGAGAAGGGGTTGATCCACTAAATCTTTCATCTCTTTATCTGTATAAACAATGGGAAGGCTTAATCCCCTAACCTCTTATTTATAGATACAATGACAAGTGTTTGATCCTTAAGTCTTCTAAATCCTCCTCTGACTCATGCTTCACATCCTTCTTTTGTTACTTATTATTTCCGGCGTTAAAAAAGACCAAGGTTGGGTCAGTAGCAAGCTCCTTCCCACTCTCCTCTTCCACATATTTTCTCTCATGATATTCTCTATGTAAAATAATTATAAACAAGAGTAGTTATATCATCTAATTTTAATTATAAGCTTTTAGGTTATTTTCCAACATTATTTGGCCACTTCATAACTCTATAATAATGTCATAAAGCGACTTCATCGTTTCTTGTGATGGAATAAACTAAAATTTAACTAATCGTGCTTCCATTACTCCCTTGGCATAGTCCTAAAAAAATATGGCGCCCACTTTCATCTTTACAATTCTTATTGGGATATACTGGATGGAAGTATGTACAATAGACTTATGGACGCTCTCCTCGTTAACTCTATGCACCAACTCAAGATGGATAAATGCAGATAAAAAATAAGATAATAAGTGTTTATAAGCAAAGTATATATTTTCATCATTGATCACAAGCAATGGTAACAAAAATGAGCATTTACAAATTATAAGCCCAATACTATAGTTATGTTGCACATCCAACTATAGTGTATTAGTTTGGGGCATTATTCATGTCATATCTCGATGTTGCTTATGTTGTATGAATAATTATTAGGTCCGGACACCTGACATAGCTCTACATCCGGACGCCAATAACATGTCGTCACGTGCTCTTACTCTTTACTGCGCGTCCCGACGACCCAGACCCAATATTGTTATGTATTGGTTGATTTGTGCATACTGGGGTATTACTAGGTATTGCTAAGTATTGCTCGGCATTGCTAGGTATTGGTTGACAATAACGAGAAATATCAATCCGTCAAGACCAATACCGAGCAATACCTAGCAATACCCCAGTTTTGTTAGGTATTGCTCGACATTGCTAGGTATTGCTCGGTATTGTTAGGTATTGATTTTGACAGAGCGATATTTCTTGTTATTGTCAAGCAATATCTAGCAATACCAAACAATACCTAGCAATACCGAGCAATACCTAGTAATACCCGAACATAGCAATACCAGGTTTCGGTCTTGGTCGGGTCGTCGGCCGCGCGGTAAAGAGTAAGAGCACGCGGCAACATGTTATTGGTGTCCGGATATAGAGCTATGTCAGGTGTCCGGAACTAATAATTATTCCTGTTGTATAGGGTCAAGGAAGACAAGCTCAAACCTATAGTCGTTGGTTCCATTGCTTGAAAATGAAACCAACAAAGGGGACAAAGGAGTTGTTATGTCGCTTGGTGTCACATTCAGTTCCATTGTTTGAAGACGAAGGAAACAAGAGCGTATCGGTCCCATCATTTGGTGTTGAAAGAAGAAGAAACGTTTTCATTTATTTAACTTCGAGTGAGAATGAGATGAAGGACCAGAAAGATAGAGCGGGAGATCAAAGCAAGTGGTGGTCGAGTGGGTTGACTAAGAAAATGAAGTCAAGTGTGTGTTTAGTGCACAAGTGGTGTAGGTGATCGAGATTTGCGAGTATAAGAAAGCAATAGAGAAAGAAGGAGATTGTGTGATGCCCCAAGATCATACAAAATATTTAAATTCCTAAACCCATATTTCTCAACCATAATATAATACACCATAGCCATATAATAATACAAAATAGTTTAAATAACGAGGCATCATTCCATTTTTTTCATAAAGAATAATATTCAAATAATCCAATGTAATTTCACTCCATGCATCAAAACATAAAAATTGGATTACAAAAATACCTTGACTGAAAATCCCTAGTCCCTACTGATCAGCTTCCCATAACCTCACTATATCAGGCCCTTTCCTTGAAATGTTAAACATCAATAGAATGATAATTTCAACTCAATAGCTATTCCTAAGTCTTATTACAAAATTAAATACTCATATCTTGAAATTTATAAATAAAAGTTTTAAATGTCAAGTTTAAGAAAACATAAAATAACTATCACTTTTATAGAGACGTGTTATAGTTTACTTATCTCAGATGTATATCTTTCTTGCTTTTTCACAAGAATGTCAGAAGGTACTGGTTATCAGAACAAACCAAAATATGTACTTCCATTTCATACTTTTCATAGAAGCATCAGAGTATACTTGTATAGAAATAATGGAGTATACTTATTTTCAAAACATCATTTCTTTAATTAAACTTATTATATTTATCATAATATCTTTTATTTTCAATTTATTTTATTTAATGGAATATACAATCATATGTATATCATGATGCCTACTTATAACCCCACTTCCACTTATACATCCCACAATCTACCTTCATTAAGTGAATTAATGAATGAGACCATCTTGATTCTTCTTTATAACTTTACTTTCACTTATGTCTATCTTGAACCCCCCATACCTCTGTAAAGTACATTAGGCCAGAAATAACCTCTCACATTCACTAGGACAAATGAAACTACAATCGGAAGCAAAATATAATAGAAAGTAGGGCCCACAAAACAGAGTTTATAGTGCACATCATCAGTATCCCACATCAGAACATCTGCCATATGATCATAAATGCATATGCAAAATTTTACAAAATTAACATGCATAAAAAAACGCTGAGCATGATCATGAACATATGTATGTCACAATACAAAGATTGATGCATATGTATCGCATTCACATTTTCTAAATTTCATCATTTAAAAAATCATTTGTAAAAACTTTAAGACGTTATTTTAAGACTTTCAAGAAATTATACCTGACCTCATAAATGCATGTTTTGATAGCAAATACTAAAAAAATAACATACATGAAACAAAAAAAATAAAAACTTTATTTCTTATAATCAAAATATTCATAATAGAGCATTCTACAACATACAAAAAATTATAGAGACGAATGTCAATTATACTCATTAAAAAGTATTTTTACTCTTTATCTTTTCATAGAAATATCATAATTGAAATTAGAAATAAGATATTAGGAGTCTACCTCATGTACGACAATTCCCTTAATTGTCTCGATCGACAAACATTACACCACAACCTCCAAATTTCTCTCTCCTTCCGTTTATCCCCTTCTCCTTCTATAACAAGTTGAGGGTGTCATAAACCAACCCAATAAGACCCACCGATGGGACATGTCTTATTATGTTGGCTTGCAGCGAGCGAATCCCAAGATCTAATTTTGATTATTATTATTTTTAGATTTCACTTTCCAATTTAAACTTCTAAAATAACAACATAATACAAAACTGTTAAAAATATCCAAAGTGTTGAATTAAACTCATTCATCAAATCTTTTTCATTTTATCATCAAAATGTATATACAGTAATAAGATTATGAACATCTATTCAATAGATTTCTTCCCTTTCATAGACCTTGAAAAATAGAATGCAAAATTGTAGTGAGCTAAAATAACCATCATGTCATAAATAACTATCTAAAATTTCAAACATTTCTTTTATTAAATATTTTTACAAAACTATCAAATATAATATAATGATTCATTGTGTGGGGCAAAGTAAGAAAAGCATTATAGTTATTCAAATATTTAAATTATAATACTGATAAGCCATGCTATGCTTCAGTTGTAGAGAGAAGACTAATGGGGTAAAATAGGTTCTTAAAGTTATTTTTTTTTTTTTTTTTTTTTTTTTTCTTAAAGTTATTTATTAATTTAATTGTTTTAATGGCTTAAAGGGTCTTAAAGTTGATTGTTTTAGTGGCTTAATAGAGCAACAAGTTTGCCAATGAGGAAACATGCTCTAATTTTTTATAATTCTTCATTTTAAAGTTATTTATTAATCCAGAAAAGTCACAAATATCTTTTTTCTCAACATATGAAAAGCATCAATGGTTCGTTTTTCCCTTTGCTCCTCTCTCACGACTCAAGACCTCGAGTACGGCTTTTATTTTCCTATTCGCTCCTCTCTCGCCCGTGGTAAATATTTACGTCTTCTAAGCTATAAGGGTTATGTTATTTGTATTCTTAATTTTGATCTTACATCTCCTCTTGGCTTTAGCAATGAGACGACAAACATAACTATTTTAATGTATTCTAACCTTCTAGATGAGACGACAAACATAACTAGTTTAATTTATGCCCCCTCCCCCTGCAAAATAAAATTTCTAGCTCCGCCACTGCTGGCAGCTTATGACTCCCAATAGGAATAATTTTAGATATTTTCATATTCAAAATTTTGATCTCAAATAGAGTTTTAAGGAATTTTAGCCCCATTATATTTCCCAATAGATTTTTTTCATATCAAAACTCACTTTATTCAATTAATATAACACATTTTTGCTTTTTAGTGTAATCATTAAAGTATAAAAAAACTTAGTGCAAATTTTTTCAACTTACTATAATGGTAAGGCAACATAACACACTACCGAGCAGAAATTCATATTTTTTAAAACATCACCAAATTATAAGAGATTGTGTATAACAATGTTTTTAAGACTTTATTTGTATTACAACACTATTTTTTAAAGATTGAATTATTTTCTATTCAATTTAAAAACACACATTTCAAAATACGTAGCATAAACTTTTCAAAATATTTAGAATCTCAATTTCTATAGCATATAAAAAGTTATATGGTGAAAGTTTTACCAGTGCAAAGTTATCCTCATTTTTCGATAACAAAAATATAAATTTAATCAAAAAATTGAAAACACTTCGTATTTTCGAAAACTGAGATATGCATAGTGTGATCTACCTCGCTCCAAACAACTTTCAGAACTGGATCGACGACTAATAGCTACCCAAAGTAGCTCAAATCCTTCTCTCTCTCTCTCTCTCTCTCTCTCTCTCTCTCTCTCTCTCTCTTAATTGGCTGTCAAACAAATTGAGTCGTTTGAATAGTTTAAAATGATATTTTTAAGTGTAGAAAATTGCCTAATGCCTAGGTGCCACTATTTAAGCGCCACAACGCTAGTTCAAATTCTAAAAATATGATAGCACATCATCAAAGCATCAGAACACCCAACACCTAGGGGCTTCACGGGGGAATTCCAAATTTCACCTATATGTATTCAAACCCTTGTAACTCACTTCACAACACATGAAGATATTTTTCATACACATAAAATACTTCTCAATGCATACTAAACAAATGCAAAAGAGTTCGAACTACATAAATCAAGCATTTATCTCTTTCAAATCAAGTCAAAACAGTTGAATTGAACATTGAATTTGGAGGTGTCATTGAGGGAACGAGGAAGGAGTGCAATTGATTTGGATATTTATTATACAAAAAAATCTTTTAGTGCTCAATGTCGCAAAGCCCAATTTTGGAGCACCACAGTGCTCGGGCATATATTCTAGATTCCCCCAGACTCCTATAAACCGAAAGCTCATCGCACAGCGCTTCCTCCAATCTCAACACAATACAGAAAGGGAAGTGCCGCAACTCTCCCTAGAGCAGTTGACCCATTATTTTATAGTCTTCTATGCGTCATTTCTGAACTTATTTGGACTTAAATTAAACTTTATATAGTTTAGCCCCTCATATTGAAAGTCTTTATATAGAAGTTGCTTCGTCCTCGCTATAAATCTTCAAAGAGAAGCTATCCTAAAGTCATTCCAAATCTTAAAAATAAAAAAAGAAAAAACACTTCAAATCTTCAAAAATAAGCTACCATCCCACCTCTGTGGCCACTTTACCTCGGAGTAGGCCGACTATTTCATTATACATAAAATTACATGTAAAAGCCTCTAGATGCAAATTTGAGTAATTTTGGAGAGCTCAAAAAAAATTTTTTTTTTTCAAAAATGTCTGCCCCAAATAAAGTGCCAACTCAATGGAAGGCTAAGATAAAGATTGAGAATAATTTAATTAGCTCACAACCCTAATAAGAGATCCACATTAATGACCGAGAGGTGGTTACACCATATCTGAAGCTCTTGCCAATGGCAAATTATTAGGTCCAGTCACTGGACCTATTTCTAGGTCCGGACATCCAATAAAAGTTTGCCATGTGGACTGCGCTTTGAGTCAAAAAAAGTGCAGTAAAAAATGTAGGTAAAGTGCATGTAAAGCGGAGATAAAGCGCAGTCAAAACGCATAGTCAAAGCGCAGTCCACGTGGCAAATTTTTATTGGATGTCCGGACCTATAAATAGGTCCGGTGACCGGACCTAATAATTTGCCCTTACCTATAGCACTCAATGCCTACGTTGACAACTAGTTTGGTGTCTATGATTATCGCTAAGGCTAATGCCCATCATTGCTAACAAGAACAAAGCCTGTCATCGACCCCAATGACAATAAGATATATACCTATCATCACAATCAAGATTGATGACTATCTTCTTGATCGTTGATCTGTCTTCTAACAAGGAGAACGATCGAGCAAATCACCAATGATCCCTTGTTGATATTTCCAAAGCCTCAAAATTTGTACTTCCTACCATAAAAGTCTTCTTTCAAAATTTGTGTCCACTATATATATTTGGAACGGGGTATGTACCTGTTTTCATCCCTGTAGAGGAGGCGCTTGGCAGAGTAACTAATCCATCAGTGGGCCTAGCGGCGACCAGCCCTACAGGTGCCATACCACACACTTATTTTCTTCAAATTTATGGAGTTGCGCTGCTTGAGGAGGAATCGAACGTAGGTTGGGGGGTCCCAACCACGCTTGCCCACCAACCCAACTAAGCCTAGCGAAGTCACTATATCGTATTAATATACATCATTTATAACTTATAAAGCTACAACTCACACTGGCAAAAATCATTTCAACTATATTAGATCATGTGATTTTCGACTTCCTAGATTTTCTCTGTAAATTATCTCATCTCTTATGAGCCACACCAAATTTGTGCAAAACTTTTAAACAATACTAGATCATTAACTAA